GGAGAGGAAGGGGAGGCGAGAGCGGGGAGGGAGGGACGCATGGGAGGATGCGATCACGTGACTCGCAAATGTGACGTGGTACATCAGGCACGCGAGAAGAAGGGGCAGCATGCCTGTCGCATCTCAGAAGGCTTGAGGGTGCATTCCTACCTTGTGTCAGACACGAAGTGGAGGTTTGGATGGAGGTTCGGAAGACCCGAAGTGGCCCACTTCGGGTCTTCCGAACATTGATTTGCCAGAGTTCCAGGTCACTTCGGGTCTTCCTCAACTTCATTTCGTGTCTGACCTCATGTCAGACACGAGCCAAGAATGCACCCTGAAACTCGTTCTGGGGAACCCAGTGTTATCGAGGGTAGCCCAAACAGACCTCAGAAATTTCATGAACTCCAGACGCAAGCTACCGTATTTTTCTGGGCCAAGTTGTATGTTCCAAGGAGGCACCAGACTGAAGAGAGTGTTACAGCGCTGCATTTCCATCGTTCAGCCTACTGTACACGATTGCTCACGACTGTAGCATTTAATAAAAGTAGCAAATAATCCTTCGAAGCCTCTGGGATACTGTATAACACTGGTGGTGGGGAACACCTGCTCCTCGATTCGCAATTTCCAGGATGTGGCAGTGTGCGCGGATTCGTCAACCACGCGAAACCAACTCGTCAGATCGGATGAGGTCTAAACCTTGTTCCAAAACTATTTCCATATCCAGGTTCCACACACTGATGAGAAAGTACAGTTGTGGCAACCGCGAGTTCGGTTATGATAAGGAAAAAACATAAAAACCAGAAGAAGCATATGGACCCCTGAACACACAAAAATGAAGATGAAAATCGAAATAAAATCAAGCAACGGCGGAGGTGCTGGCGTGGTCAAAGCATTGCTGGAAACGATGGGATGGGAATCCCTTGAGGCTGAAGACACGGACAAGAACCACCGACAAAAAAAATGCTGTGGAATGGCTGGCCACGCGCGAGCTTCAAGAAGCTGAAGCCACAGAAAGGTGTACACTGGTGATGCAATCTCTCCACAAAAAGATTGCCTAGATTTTGCGCAATCCAATCAGTCTGTTTGAACGCGTCGGTTACAACGCAGTTGCACCTGGCTATTAGCGAGCAGCATTTCCACCAGTGGACTCGATGAGGGTTGATGATGAGATGACTGACGTGTGCGCGTGCCCCTGAATGCTCGGATTCACAGTCCACTTCGCAGAAGCCCAGCACCCGCACCAAACGGAACTGCGCCGATATCAGCTCGCCTCGCCATTGGCGTGTACAGGCCAAGCTGCTGGACATACATTAGCTTACACTATAAAAGGGTTGAACAGCAAAGCACCAAAACAAGGTTCTAGGCATCATTCAAGTGACGGCCTCACACAACACACCCGTACCTTCAGCTTTCTTCTCTTTTATTTCAGACACCAGCTGACTGAGAACCTGCTGGAGGTCCTTGAGCCTTATTGGCTTGGCAAGGAAGCCATCCATCCCTACACTCACACACTTGTCCCTCTCGTGCTTCAACACACTCGCTGTCAACGCATATATGACCGACCGCTTCCTCCGATGCTGCGGCTTCTCCTGCTCCTGTTCCTGCTCTCCTTCCAAACTCGTGCCTGATTGCCCTTTCGCCCCTCTGATTGCTTCCTGCTGCTGCTCCTGGTGCTCCACATCCACAGCATCAGACATTGATCCCTCCCCATCACCACCACTATCATCGACGGTTTCTGTTTGCAGCTGACGTATTCTTTCCGTGGCTTCAAACCCGTCCATGACTGGCATGTGGCAGTCCTGTCAGCAACAATGGAGGTTGCGTGGAGGCGACAAACACAAGTGAGTTGCAGGGAAAACCAACAGCCTCTATTTTTCTCAGAAAAAAAAAAAACAAAAAACAAAAAAAACAAAGGGGGGTGCCTTTACGCAACTCTCCATGAATGGAACTGGGATGCATGCAGCAAGGCACGCACCATGAATCTGATGTCGTAGCAACACCGCATACACGCCTGCACGGCCTTGCGCCTTTTGAGACGTCTCAAAAGTCTCCACGGCTGGGATGCAGCAATACACGCACCATGAATATGATGTCGTAGCAGCACCGAGTGCATGCCTGCACGGCCTTGCTTCCATCCTCAGCCACATCGCATGCCACCTTGAGGCTCCGCAGCAGCCGCACCACCACCATGCGGTTCACCGCGTTGTCCTCCACCACCAGACACCGCAGCCCTGCAAACTCCCCCTCCTGCTCCCCTCTGGCTTCCCCTGCCTGCTCTGACTTCCTGCCGCCCCTCACAGCCGCTCCGTTCATCCCCCCTTTTCCCCGACCCTCACTTTCCTCGTCACTGCTGCTGCTCTCATCCTCCCCATCCTCCTCACTCTCCTCCCCATCCACCCGCTCCTTCTCGTACATCCCACCCTCCCTTGGTCTCTTCAGCCTCACTCCACCTCCTCTTCTCCCTACACTCATTGCCACAACCTCCCCTGGTACTCCTCCTGCCCCTCCCGATCCTCCTGCTCCTGCTGCTCTTGCTGCTGGTGCTGCTTTTCCTGCTCCTGCAACTGCTACTGCTGCTGCTGCTGCTACTGCTGCTGCTGCTGCTGCTGCACTTGCTGTTGATAAAGTTGGGGCATCTAAACTACATTTCCATTCCATCGGGTGCCCTCCTCCCACAGTATTACCAGGTGTTGCCACGACCCTCGCACTTCCCCCCACTCTCATTTCCATTCCTGCTCCCATCTCTGAAGCTCCTTTAACCCCCTTCCCATCCTCCTCAGCTTCAGGTCCACGCCCCTTCTCGGTCCTCCTCGCAGCAACCTCTCCCTCTGCACTTTCCAGATTTTCCCCCCTGATTTCCGGGATCCAGAACCCCGCCCCTCCATTTGCATCCAGTCGACCCGCATTGCCTGCTTCCCCACCTTCCCGCCCCATTTCCATCCCTTCCCCGCCACCCATCCGCTCCCCCTCCCCGCACATGTCCCCCTGTGGCCACTGCTGCTGCTGCTGCTGCTGCTGCTCGTGCCGCTGCTGCTCCTGCTGCTGCTGCTGCTGCTGCTCATTCTTATCCTCCACCTGCTGCTGCTGTTGCACGTGCCAGAAGGGAGGCAGGCAGGAAAGAGGGCTTGGGTATCGAACCACAGGAGGAGGTGAGGGGGAGGTTTGGCGATGAGGCGAACGAGAGGCTCGGTGATGAGGTAGGCCAGAGGTTTGGTGGAGAGGTGAGACAGAGGCTTGGTGGAGAGGCGAGGCAGCGGTTTGGAAATGCCTCAAGGCCTCATCCAATTCATCTCCTTCCTCTCGCACCCTTCCTTCCCCCTCCTCCCTCGCCCTGTTCCCTCTCCCCTCCCCCACCACCCCTCCTGCAACCTCACTCGGTTGTGACCACAGCTCTGCTGCTCCTGCTTCCCTTTCACTGATTCCTGCTACAGCTGCAGCAGCTGCTGCTGCTGCCTCTGCAGCTGCAACCGACGCTGCAGTAACCCCGTTTCTTCCACCCGTCTTCTGCCCTTCCCCACCCCCTCGCTCCCCAGTTCCACCCCCCTCCATCTCTTGCCCCAGCCCCTCCTCCCACGCCCCACACCGCGTCGCACCCCCCCTCTCCTCCCTCCTCACATGCACGTCCCACGTGCGGGAGCGGATGAAGGGCAGGGAGAGGGAGAAGGTGGAGCCGTGGCGGGGGGAGGAGGCGACGGAGATGCACCCCCCCATGAGCGCCGCGAGCGAGCGACAGATGGAGAGACCCAGCCCCGTGCCGCCGTGCTTGCGGCACGACGAGTCGTCCACCTGCCGGAACGGCGTGAACAGCCGCGCCATCGCCTCCCCTGAGATGCCCACGCCCGTGTCGCTAACGTCTATCCGCACCCACACCTTCTCCTCCTCTGCTGTTTCTAGCGTGCCTGCTTCTATCGCAGACGCTTCTATTGCGTCTGCTTGTAGTGCATCTGCTTCTATTGCGTCTGCTTGTAGTGCATCTGCTTCTAATGCATCTGCTTCTAATGCATCTGCTTCTAATGCATCTGTTTCTAATGCATCTGCTTCTAATGCATCTGCTCCTGATGCAGCTGCTTCTATCGCGTCTGCTTCTGCCTCACACGAAGTGATCACACTAGCCCCGATTGCATGATCTCCTATCTCGTCCCTGCTCCTGGCAGCCTCACAAGCCAAATCCACCGCAGCACCAGCACCGCCAGGAGCAGGAGCACCACCACCACCACCACCGCCGGCAGCAGAAGCAGCGCCCTCAACAGTACGTCCAAGAGGAGCAGCAGCAGCCACAAGGGGTGGGGGCTGGGGAGTGCCATCTGGACGAGGCGGGGAAGGACACAGACCAGCTTGGGCTGAATACGCCTTCTCCTCCTTCCCATGCACTGCTGTAGCCTGCTCCTCCCCTCCATGCTCTCCCCTTTCCAGCTCAGTCACCCCCCCATCGGCCGCTGCCTCTGTGTCATCCCCACGGTCGTGCCCATGCGCGTCGTCTAGAATCCGCTTGCCCAGCTGCCCCTCCCGTGACACCCCTTGGCTCGTGCCTGGGTCTGATGGCACGGAAGCAGGCGGGAGGCGGGCGGGCAGGAGGGAGGGGAGGGAGGAGACATAGAAAAGGAGTGAACAGTGTTAACAGGAGACATAGAAAAGGAGTGAATAAGAGAGCTGGTAAGCAGGTGTCTGCAGTGAGGTTTGGGGTAGGACGGAACAGTGTTAACAGAAATCTTCAGAAGTGCTGGTGTGCTCACCTAGTGATGGTGGGTCGCAGAGAGACACATGCACCCTCACCTCACCCCTGCCAGAGAGCGGGAGGAGGGACGGAAATATACGATTTATCAATGCCGTACTCAATGCATTGCAGAGCCTGAGATGCACTCAGTGATTTGCAAGGGCCACTTGTGCGTGCAACCACACAAGCACACAGCCACGTAGCCTCTTGCCAACCCCTCACCTCACCAGCACTCGCTCCCTACAATGCACCACCACACTCCCTCAACCTCGCCCTCACACAGCACCATGCAGACCACACGCACCTGTCGGTGAACTTGATGGCGTTGGAGAGCAGGTTGAGCAGGATCTGCCTCACGCGGAACTGATCCCCTATCACCATCACGGGCAGCTGCTCGCACACGCTCACATGCAGCCCCAGCTGCTTGCTGTTCGCCGCCACCCGAATCGCACTCAGCGCCTGCTCGATCGTCACGTGCAGATCAAACGGGTACGCGTCAACCACGAGCGAGTGCGTCTCGATTTTAGTAATATCGAGCACATCCGATATGATATGCATGAGGGCGTTTCCCGAGGAGCAGATGACGTCCAGGTACATGCTCTGCTCCTCGGTAAGAGGGGTGCGGAGGAGCAGCTCGGCGACGCCGATGACGCCATTCATGGGGGTGCGCAGCTCATGGCTCATGTTCGCCAGGAACCGGTTCTTCGCCTCGTTTGCCGCTTCTGCCGCCTCCTTGGCCGCCTTCAGCTCCTCCTCCTTGCGCTTCATCTCAGACATGTCGTGCCAGATGGACAGCAGGTGCTTCGCCCCGTCGATCACTATCTCCTGTGAGTTTGTGATTATGGGAGTGTGGGGTTGGCAGAAGGGAATCTTACACACTCTTTGAGAAACGATTGCGGACAACGCAAAAAAAAAAAAAAAAAAAAAAAAAAAACACCATAATCATTATTTATTAATGTATTTATCATTTCTTTTCTAGCTCACCCTGACAGTAACGAGCACCAAGAAGGGCTCGCCATCGGACGCGAGCGTCTGCCACTCGAAGATGACGACCTCGCCTCGCAGCATGCGCGCATGGTTCTCCATCTGCACGTCGATGGAGCGCCGCCCGTCCGGCTGGAACTCGGGGGAGAGCTTCATGAGGTCGAAGCGCTGCAGCATCTCGTCGCGGTCGCGGTACTTCATGTATCGCACCGCTGCCTCGTTGCAGTCCACCAGCTTGAACTCCTGTGATACTGTGAACACCGGGTCCTGGTGAGGGGGCAGAAAATGGTAGGGGGTTCGGGTTTAAAAATTGACATTGCCTTCAGCCCCTGATGGATCCACTTTGCCTGGGGACCGATTGCTCACCAGGGACATTTCTCACCAGGGACATTTCTCACTCACCAGGGACATTTCTCACTCACCAGGGACATTTCTCACCAGGGACATTTCTCACCAGGGACATTTCTCACCAGGGACATTTCTCACCAGGGACATTTCTCACCAGGGACATTTCGAAGATGGCCTGGAATCGGGAATTCTTGCGGCTGTGAACCAGCAGCGTCTTGACCTGGTCTATCAGGGCCGATATCTCCCGTACCACTCCACTCGTCGCCACGTCATCGCCCTTCCACCCGCCTCCCTCTCCTTTCGCCTTGCCCTCTTTGCTTTCTTCCCCTCCCTCCTCACTCCCCTCTTCCCCATGTCTCCCCTTGCCTCCGTCTGTCTCTCCCCCTCTCCCATCACCCTCCTCCCCCTTGCGCGCTTCTTCCTCCGCTGTCCCACCATCCTCCCCCTCCTCCACGGAAACTTCACTTTCCCCGCCTCTCCCACCCTCGTCACCACTAGCGTGCCCTGCTGCTCCTCCTGTTTCTCCCCCTGCTGCTCCTCCTGTTTCTCCCTCTGCTGCTCTTGCTGTTTCCCTCCCTGCTGCGATTGCACTGTCTCCCTCATCTCTTACACTTCTAGAATCGCTTTGCGCTTTCCCTCCCCTAAGATTCTCTCCCGAATCCCCTGACGCGCTTTTCCCCGCGCCCTCTCCTGCGCCTTCCCCCGTCGCGCCTCCCCGCGCGCCTTCCCCTTGGCACTCCTCGGGGCCCTTTCGAGGGGGCGGCGCGCTCCTAGCAAGCTGCACGCACTCCTGCAGCTGACGCACTACGTACTCCGCGCCCCCGCGCCGCGCCGACACGTCATAGAACACGCATAGAAGTAGCGGCTCGCGGCTCGCGCCTACATTTAGTATGAACCCTTGATCTGAGACTTCCTGGTCCGGTCCACCCTGGCAGCGTTCAATACACCGTCGATCGTGCGACACGTGTCTGTCGTCTACGGTTTGACGGTTAGGATCTAGGCTACTTAAAGGGTTAGTTAGGGAAACTGCGACTTCGAACCAGCTGCAGCCATCAGCGGTTCCTGAAGTTCGTCGCCGGCTTGACGCGTCGCTTTCGTCAACGCTTGGCGACAGTCGCACGTCCAGTCGTTTGTCGCAGGGCGCTTGGGGTTTGGAGCTGATATAATTCGCAAGGAGAGCCTGTAGCGACGGGATTCATACGATGCGGAGACCAGGGAGAGAGCAGGGAAAGAGGAATTGAAAAACGCTCGATTTTGTTGTACAGGAAACGGAACTCAGATGAATGAAAATACGCACGAACAGAGCAACTTCCGAGGCAATTAATATCCCATTTGAAAGCAATTGGAGGCCATGGACCCACCTCGAGAGCATCCGCGTCCTCCGCGTGAACAAGCTCCCTGATTGGCCTCCGTAATACGTCCTCGGAAGAGTTAAGACCTAAGAAATTCACTAACGCGGAGCTGCACTGCGCGACGCGGAATCCGCCATCCGCGGTAACGAGCGCCGCGATTATTACTTCGTCAAGGAGAGAGGCAACGAGCGGGGAATATTGTTCGGTTGGCGAAGAGAACATGTCTGAACCGAAGCTAAGGAGACAATCGAGCGAGTCAGAGCACATGGTCATAACTGGAGAAAAGGTTAATCATGAACGCCACGCCGACGCGAGATTCCTGAAGAAAGGTGAACAGGATGTATGAATATCAACGCACGCTGTGCAGCACGTGCGACGCGACGCGCGGCGAGGTTCTATTACATGGTTCAGTGTCAGCAATACGATCCTGAGAGGCCAGAAAGTTTTGCGTGGAAGAAGCTCAACAAGAGTAATACATGTCTAACAATCCCCAGCCAAGCGAAAAAATCGGAAAGCTTCTTATCTCAGCAGCAGCAACAGCAGCACTGGTCGTGTCAGAGAAACAAGAATTTTGAATGACTGTTGTGAGCATCAAAACAGCTGCAGCAATCCGTGGTCCCTGAGGGCGGGTCCAAAGAGTACGTCCGAATGGGGTTGAAAAAGGTTTGGGCTTGATCCAGACTGGTCCAAGTTGAAATCCAGATGGTTGGGTAGGGTTCTCTGCGAATGCGTACATTGTTGGACCCGCCCTCAAACATGCCGTGACGAGCCAAGGGGTGTGCTCGGCGGACCGGGGTTGGGCGAGACGTTTACAGATATTCTGGCGATGAGGACAACGACGATGACTGTCATCTGCGCTTCGGTGAAAGGGCGCGGACGAACAGATTGGGTTCAGGACTTCTTTTGGCTTTCTCTCGCCCGAGATGATTCACGAAACGAATTTTCAAGATTGCTAAAATGTTGCTTGTTTGCCAGATTACAGGGGTGGAGAAGAGCATAAGTCCGGTTTCGCTTGGAATGTCAAACATTCCATGAGGGGCGATTCTCTGAAAAAACTATACATATTGCGGCCGTCCCAAACCAGATTCCGCCAGCCAAATCCTTGTTGGTGTCAGTCCAAACACCACCGAACTAAAGATAGCGGATGCGGCCCAAATACGAATGGCGGTTGTGGTAGAGCATGTTACCAGACCACTCTTGGTTCCTTGTTTGGGAGATTCCAACACAAGTTCTTGCTAAGCACACTAGAGTTCACTACCTAGCGTGAGTTCAGTAAAAACGGAGTGAGGGGTTACGAGATTTTAGTCCCGTGAAAAAAACTAAGCCGCGTCATCCCAATCTGCGTTTCGACTGGTTGGGTGGAGACGCCGTCCTTCGTAAGACAAGCAAAGGCGCTTCATTGGCGGACCGAGTTGGCAGAAATGCCAGAAAGGGTGTCTGATGAAAAGTTCAATAAGTGCGGTGCGCTGTGGTACTCAGCGTTTCGGCTAGGCTCTTTTGGTGATGGAATGGGATCTTTTCCCACGCGCCAAAACAAAGATTGGATTTGAAATCCTTCACTTTTGTATTCTTCCTGGCACGCTTGCGGTGTGTGCAACAGCTGCTGGCTGGGAATATGGTTTCTAGTTTCCTGACCGTATGTAGGAAGCTGATCTAATCACCCTTATAACCTCTAGAGGGTATGCCATTGTACAGTTTCCAATCAAACTATAGTAGCATCTCCAACATTTGTCAATTCCAATGCACCACCCTCCGTGGTGTTGCAACTAGCAAACCACACTTTCATATATGAATCATTCATTCTCAAGTTTCTTACAGCAGACCATGGTAACAAATCATGGTGCATGGCAAAATCAACAAAATGTTATTTCTATCCGCAAAGGTTCTGTGCTTCAAATTCTTAGGTAACCGCAAAGAATTTAGTACCTGCACTCTAATCTGAGGAAAAGCGCAAAGGCTATGTGGGTTTCTGTAAACGGGGATGTTAGTAAGTCACCTTCCCGCCAGAATGGTTCACGGCCACACGACAATATTTAAAACCAGGGTCTGACACTAGCAAGCAGAAACGTTGACCGCGGCTCGTACAATGCCATCTGTGTCATGTCATGTCATCTATGGACCATAGTTCCGAGCCCGCTACATTCCCTCTGGTCATGACGATGTAACACTTTTCGCGTTCATTCTGAATGTTTCGCACATGGCTACTCTTTCCCGCGAACTGTCCGACAGTGCGCGCGTCAGCGCAACACTGTTTCCGCCTTCCTTCACTTTCATGGCCGAATTTCTCCCGCCTTCCGCCTGTCAGCGGAACCTGTCCACGCACTTTTCAGCGGCTTCCCCTTGTGCTTGCAGATGCAGTGACCGCAACAGGAGCAAACTCCTCCTCCCCTCGGCTTGCAGTTGTGTCGCATGGCGACCCCTCTCGTCGCCCTCTTCGCTTCCCATTCGCCGATTCTCTCAGAGTCAACCACGGCACCCCTCTCGTTTCCTACCAAACCCGTTCAACCACTCTCAACTCCCAACCTCCATCCCTTCCTCCTTCAGCGGTCGCTCAGATCCCAGCAAGCTTCGTCCTATGATGAACGTCACGACGGAGTCGCGCACGCAGTCTGCAACAGATGATGCGACGTTACAATAAATCGCTGCACGCATCCGGCGACGTTACGACGGATACAACTTTACGACGACTTAAAGACGGATTGAGCTGCGCGGATCACACGACCCCTGACGAAATTAAGACGGTGAAGACGGAGTTCGCGGCAAAGGCGGATCTGCTGATGGATGAGTTCGCGAAGCCTTCAGCCGAGTTCGCGAAGCCGTCAGCCGAGTTCGCGAAACCGTGAGCGCTCGCGAAATAACGACGATACTACCTCGTGTGCATCCCCGTCAACGACTGAGGTACAAACGTTAACGTCCTCTTAATGTTACACGCTTGTTCTTAATCTTGCCTCTTAACCTTACACGCTTGTTCTTAACACGCTTTATTCATGTTCTTCTGTAAGTTTCTTCTTTTCCAGTATTCTCTTCTCATTTTGTCTCTTTTACCTATTTTTCCCGGTTCAAGCAGGAGGATCGCGGATCACACGGATTGAGCTGCGCGGATCACACGGATTGAGCTGCGCGGATCACACGGATTGAGCTGCGCGGATCCCACGGATTGAGCTGCGCGGATCACACGGAATGAGCTGCGCGGATCACACGGATTGAGCTGCGCGGATCACACGGATTGAGCTGCGCGGATCACACGGATTGAGCTGCGCGGATCACACGGATTGAGCTGCGCGGATCCCACGGATTGAGCTGCGCGGATCACACGGAATGAGCTGCGCGGATCACACGGATTGAGCTGCATGGTGCAGCGTGGTGCACCTTGCGTGGTCCAAGGCCTGCTGCTCTCCACTGCACCTTGTGGGAGCAGCAGCAAACCGTTGATGCAGTGCGCTGATGCAGTGCGCTGATGCAGCTGAGGCTCAGGAAACAACTGCTGAAGCACGGACGGCGCTGCACTGCTGAAGAACGGAGGTATCAGGTGCTGCTGCAGTTGAGAATGGGCGCTGCCCTGCACCGGAGGAACTTCTGCTCTGCCATGGTAAGCTGAATTTGAATCTGAATAATGGAGTAATTTGAATCTGAACTTCTGCCAACGGTTTTCAGCTCTTTCAATATTGGAAACCTGAGCAATTTTTATTACAAATCCGAGTACTTATTCACTGATGCTGTGTGGTTTGACTTGTGCAGAGGAGGCGGACGTTGCTGGCGAGGAGAGGAGGCGACGCTGCTGACTTGCGGGTGTTTATCCTGAATCTGGAGGCGAGGCGATGCTAGGAGGCGTCCGGCGAATCGGGAAGTGACAAGCGAAAGCAACGAGTAGTCCAAAAGGTAAGCTCCCTCCTCTACCCTTGCGCTCCCCCCCCCCTTCTGCACTCACTTGTCGCTCCACTCTGCTCACCGTTTGCACTCTTATCTTATTCACTGCTACTTGCTTGCTTTCTCGCACTCCTATCTTGTTCGCTTTCGGCTACCCGCTCTTGCTCTTGCTCTCAGTGCCACTCTGTCGTGTGCTCTCTCTGCTGCTCTGAGGCTGATTCTACCCTCTGTGCATCTCTGCTCCCTCTGCTCCTCGTTCAGACTCAACCACGGGCGATAGCTACTGGAGCAGCAGGGGGGATGGCGCTGCATTGCTGTGGCGAGCGGGAGAGGCGAGCGGTGGGATGACGCACGGCCTGGGCTGGGCCCAACCTGCCAGCATCA